AAAGATTTGTAAAAATCACCTACATCCCCATCTCTCTTCCACAACTGCTTCTATCATTTTGATATGCTTTCCTCCACGTTTTTCCCCCCTCATCCATTTCTTTTTCTTCCCAGTTAGAAAACTTATCAATAGTTAGATTTGAAGGACATGGACTGAGCGCCTACTGGTATTCTATGCCAGGCATGGGCAGAGGAGAATGAACCTAACTTGGGTCCGGCCCTCTCAAGCCCACAGTCTGGTCGGGAAGCCAGGGTGGAGGCTTGGCTTGGTATTTTAATGGAGGCCCAGAGGGGTGCAGGGCCCCGGGATCTGGGGTCACACCTCAGGGGGAAGCTTGGAGTGCTTGACGGCCCTCAGATCCAAGTGATGAGGCATCAAGGCATTCCTACCAAACATGAAGCTGTCAAGTCTTCTGTTGCCAATTATCACCAGTGACAGTGCTGAGAAACCTTATTCTCTAAAAGCAGAGATGATCAGAAACTTTGAGAACAGAGCATCCCTCTCTGGTCTGGAGGGTTGAAGCCGGATTTTTCAGAGAGAAGCAGCCGGGATTACCAACCCCAGTACAGAACTTCAGATAAGGGGTTTCTGGACACAATAGTCTCTATCGATCTCAACTTTGTGCAGTCCAAGGAAACAAGACCAGGGATTTGCTTCTCAGCCCAAGTCAAATGTTAACCCTTCTCCACACAATGAGGTTTGCTCTGAGTCTGTCGATGGGGCTTCAGTTTATTTTCACCGAAATTCCACTCTTCTCCCTAATCCTATGATAACGCGGTTTCTTCCTTTGGCTCCTCTGGGTATTATCTCCTTAGCTGCATCAGGTTAATAAACCAACCTAATTTTGCTAAATGTTCCCACTGGTCTTTATCAGATTAGCTTGATCGTAAAATCTAAGCCTTCTCTGTACAGTCACTTACCCACTGATTCATTCAGTCAATGTTTACCCAGCCTATGTTCAGAGGTACGTGCTGGAGGCATGGTGAGAGGACAGTCAAGGTCCTTGGCCTTGTGGACCCTGCTTCTAGTGGAAGAGATAGAAAACTGAACAGGTAATAAAAACAGGAGAACAGGGCTTCCCTGGTGGTCCAGTGGTTAAGAATCCGCCTGCCAATGCAGGGGACATAGGTTTGATCCCTCGTCTGGGAAGATTTCATGTGCATTGGGGCAACTAAGCCAGAGTTCCAGAACGACTGAGCCTGCACTCTAGAGCATGAACTCCACAACAAGAGGAGCACTACAAAAAAAAAAAAAAAAAAAGGAGGAGCTCTGCAGTGAGAAGCCTGCTCACTGCAACTGAAGAGTAGCACGAGAACAGCAATGAAGACCTAGCACAGCTACAAATCAATAAAATACAACAGAACCAGAACAACAACAACAATAAAAACGGAGTATCAGGCTATAAAGGAACTGGGTGGCTGCCTTTGGAAGGGCAGGGAATTCCTGGCAGTCCAGTGGTTAGGGCTCCACCCTTCCACTGCATGGGGCATGGGTTTGACCTCTGGCTGGGGAACTAAGACCCCACACACTGAGAAAAAAAAAAAATAAGAGGAAGAAGAAGGGCAGGGCAGTGAAGGCTGCTTTAGAGAGGCTACGTTTGAGCTAGAACCTGGGTGAGCAGATCTCCAAAAAAAGCACTACAAGCAGAGATCAGCAAAAGAGGTGAAGATGAGCTTGTGTGACGATGAGATTGTCAGGGGCACAGAATAACAAGAAGGTCCGTGTGTCCCATCTTTTTATCCTTTTATACAGTTCACGGGGTTCTCACGGCAAGTACACCAGAGTGATTTGCTATTCCCTCCTCCAGTGGATCACGTTTTGTCAGAACTCTCCACTATGACCCGTCCATCTTCGATGGCCCTGCATGGCATGGCTCATAGCTTCACTGAGTTATGCAAGCCCCTTCACCACGACAAGGCAATGATCCACGAAGTGTTAACAGAAGCAGAAGAGATCAAGGAGAGAGCAAGACTATACAGAAGAACTGTACAAAAAAGATTTTAATGACTCAGATAACCACGAGGCTGTGGTCACTCATGCAGAGACAGACATTCTGGAATATGAAGTCAAGTGAGAGCCTCAGGAAGCACTGCTGACAATAAAACTAGTGGAGGTGATGAAATTCCAGCAGAGCTATGTAAAATTCTAAAAGATGATGCATTAAAGTGCTACACTCAATATGTCAGCAAATTGAGAAAACGCAGCAGTGGCCACAAGGCTGGAAAAGGTCAATCCTCATCCCAGCTCCCAAGAAGGGGAGACCTAAGGACTGTTTACACCACCAGACGATTGCACTCATCTCCCGTGCTAGTGAGGTGATGCTCTAAATCCTTCAGGCTAGGCTTCATCATCACGTAAACCGAGAACGTCCAGATGTTCAATCTGGGTTTAGAAAAGGCAGAACCAGAGATCGAATTGGCAACATCCACTGGATCATAAAGCGAGAGAATTCCAGAAAAACACCTACCTCTGTTTCATTAACTAGGCTAATGCCTTTGACTGTGTGGGCCATAACAAATTGTGAAAAATTCTTAAAGAGATGGGAATACCAGACCATCTTACCTGTCTCCTGAGAAACCTGTATGCAGGTCAAGAAGCAATAGCTAGAACCTTGTATTGAACAACTGACTGGTTCAAGACTGAGAAAGGAATACCAGGCTGTTTATTGCACCCTGCTTGTTTAACTTATACACGGACCATATCATGCCAAATGCCGGGCTGGATGAGTTAGCAAGCTGAAATCAAGATTGCTGGGAGAAATACCAACAACCTCAGATACGCAGATGATACCTTTCTAATGGCAGAAAGCAAAGAGGAACTAAAGAACCTCTTGATGAGGGTGAATGAGGAGAGTGAAAAAAGCTGGTTTAAAACTCAATATTAAAAAAACTAAGATCATGGCAACTGGTCCCATCACTTCATGACACATAGAAGGGGAAAAGGAGGAAGCAGTGACAGATTTCCTCTTCTTGGGCTCTAAAATCACTGCAGATGGTGACGGCAGCCATGAAGTTAGAAGATGACTGTTTCTTGGCAGGAAAGCTATGACAGACCTAGACAGTGTGTTAAAAAGCAAAGACATCATTTTGCCAACAAAGGTCCATATAGTCAAGGCCATGGTCTTTCCAGTAGTCATCCAGTATGGATGTGAGAGCTGGACCATAAAGAAGGCAGAGTGCCAAAAAATTGATGTTTTTGAATTGCGGTGCTGGAGAAGACTCTTGAGAATCCCTTGGACAGCACGAGATCAAACCAGTCAATCTTAAAGGAAATCAATCCTGAATACTCATTGGAAAGACTGATGCTGAAGTTGAAGCTCGAATAGTTTGGCCACCTAATGTGAACAGCAGACTCATTTGAATTGATCCTGCTGCTGGGAATGATTGAAGGCAGAAGGAGAAGAGGGCAGTAGAGGATGAGATGGTTGGCTGGCATCAGCGATTTAATGGACATGAGCTTGGGCAGACTCCGGGAGACGGTGAGGGACGGGGAAGCCTGGCGTGCTGCCGTCCATGGGTCACGAAGAGCTGGATGCGACCTGGCGACTGAACACCAGTGTGCCAGCTGATGGAGGGAACAGGAGGGTGGGGAGAGATGAGGGAACAGGGCAAAATACAGAGTTTAAACTTTTCTCTCGATGACACAGTAATCGTATGCAGAACCACAACGTACATCCTTTCCTTATTAACCTATAGAATTGGAGCTGCTCTGGGACCCAAAGGGCTGTTCCCCTTCCCCCATCCCTCTCACCTGAGCAGTTTTTTGAAACATTCCCAAAGAATCTAAGAATTGAAGGGGGGGATGACAATCGGAAGTTCCTAAACTAGTTCAACCCCCTCATTTTACAGATGGGAAAACCAAGGCAAGAGGAGGTAAGTGTGGAAACTGCACTGTAGGAGTGAGTGGGGGAAGGACCCACGGTCACTAGGAGAGGTAGGGGTAGGGCCTTGGCAAGGAGCCCTGGTTCTCCAACCACCTACTTGAGTACCTAGCCATCTAGGAGTTTACAGAAGACAAAAGTCTTATCTTCCCTTCCCCAGGGACACTGGGTCTGGGGTGATAACCCAGCAGGAGGCACTGAGATGCCCCTCTTAGTTTCCTAGCCCATCCCATTTAGACAGGAAAATGCAAAGGCCAAGTTCTTTCCCTCAAGGATTAGCAGCGAACTGGGAAGGCTGCCTTGGTTAGCACCTCCGCACTTCCTCTTACAGGCTGTGCTATTTAACCTGTGTGCCCAGACTCAAACCGGCTTAGTAAAAATTCGAAATTTCAGTTCCTAAGGCATCACGGATTCAAGGGACATGAGTTTGAGTAAACTCCAGGAGTTGGTGATGGACAGGGAGGCCTGGCGTGATGCAGTCTGTGGGGTTGCAAAGAGTCAGACACGACTGAGTGACTGAACTGGACCACTGCAATTGGGAAGGTCTTGAGGAAGAGACACACAGGACTAAGATTTAGCCTCCTACGCACAAGGGGTCTCCCTCAGGAGGGACTGCCAAAGCCCCACGGGCACATGCCCCACTATCTGGGTGGGTCTACGTGGGTACACGAAGACACCTAATAGACTGCGCCCTCTGTTCATCTGGAGTGACTCCACGGGAAGCCATACCGATCACTGTCTCCCAACAGCAGCCAGCCAGCCCTCTAATTTGGTTTCTTTGCTCTGGGTGGTGCAAAGGATCAAGGGTGTAACCTCAGGGTGGGGCGCTGACTCAGCTGCGGGCAGGCTCCAGGAATGTCTCAATTCCTGCTGCATCCTCTTTCCATTCTGTTGGGCAAAAAACTGCGGGTGAGAAAGGCAAAGGTCTCCCCTGCACCGGAAGAGCTCCTAGGCCGGACGCACCTCTTCGCTCAGTCGGGAGCACTGGGGACCGAGGGAGGCTAAGAGACCAGCAGGGGTTAAGACCATGGAGCTACAGGGAACCGCCAAGGCCTAGAGCGACCCCGCCTCCCCCTGCCTTGGAACCCGGTTTCCCCTTCCGCTTCCAGATTTCGGGCGGGGCGTGACTTCCGGTTCCGGCGGTGGGCTACAAAGCTCGACGCCGAGCAGCTGGTTTCTCTTTCCCGGAGCTGGTGGCGGGGCTTGGCGTCTCGCTCCTCTCCTTCCCCCGTTCACCCGGCCTTCCGAGGGGCACCTGCGCAGGTGAACGCCCCTTCCCGCCCCCTGCACCTCCCTCCTCCGCCGCGCACCGCAGGGTGGGAGCGGGCGGCCGGGGCGGCGGCCCTGGGAGTGGGGAGGCCCTTGCCTGTGGGGTGTGCCGACTGGTCGGCCTGGCGTGGCCTTGGGGCCCCGCTAAAAGTCCCAAATAGGACGTCCAGTTCTGGATTCCCCAGATGCGCCTTTTCCGGCCGGATCTCGACCGTCTGAACCGCACCCAGGTGGTGGGAGGAGTCGGACCCAGGTCCTTGCCGAGACCCCGGGGATTTTTGTACTGGGCTGGGTGGTCCCGCCACTTCCTAGCCTTGTGACCTTGGGCAAGTCCCCCTTTCCCCGAACCTTAGTTTGTTTATCTGTGAAATGGAAACGACAGTAACGGCCCTGCTGGGTTCTCGGGCAGCACTCGATGACGGAAAGCTACTGAGGACTGTGTGGCCCGTAAAATTCAACAAATGGAGCAGTGGGAGCTGCTTGTTAAAATGGAGACAACTGGGGCGGTAGAGAGTCTTATCGAGAGTTTAACCTGAGTGGCTAAGAGAATCACGTAGAGAATGTGAAACGCACAGTATCAGATAGGAGATGAGGGTTACCTAAGCTAGAGTTATTGACTGGTGAGGATAAGCATTCTGTATGGCAGTTGGCCTTCTCAAACTGATTGGGTTTGGAAGCTGGGTAAATCGTGGAGCATTAGCTTTGAAAACTGGCTTGTTGACAGTTGAGACTGTTCCTAGAAGTCGGGTTTGGGGACGAGAACAATTAGTAAAAGGGTGTTTTTCTAAGGGGATTAGGGGTTTTCTCTCAGAACAGTTTTGAGCTGGAGGGGAAAACCTGAAATGTTTTCTCCCTCTTGAGTTGTGAAAGTAGCATGCTGCTGCTGCTAAGTCACTTCAGTCGTGTCCGACTGTGCGACCCCATAGACGGCAGCCCACCAGGCTCCTCCGTCCCTGGAATTCTCCAGGCAAGAATACTGGAGTGGGTTGCCATTTCCTTCTCCAGTGCATGAAGGTGAAGTCGCTCAGTCGTGTCCTGCTCTTAGCGACCCCATGGACTGCAGCCTACCAGGCTCTTCTGTCCATGGGATTTTCCAGGCAAGAGTACTGGAGTGAAAGTAGCATAGATGTAGTTAAAAAGAAGACAGTATAGAAAGGTGTAAGAAAAATGTTTACCACTTTTACTGTTTTCCTCAGAGGTAAAAAGAATTTCTTTGATAACCTTCCTGGTACTGTTTATGTATACATCAGGTCGTATATGCTTATGTGTATGTGTTTTTAATTTCCCCAGATGAGATTATAATACACATATTGATCTGCACCTGGGGGCGGGGTGCTATATTATGGAAAACTTTACATATCGGATCTCATAGGCCTCTTTCATTTCTTCCAGAGCTGCATAGTATTCTGCTGAGTGGCTGACAGTACTTTAATCATTTCCCTGTTGATAAGGGCTTCCCTGTGGCTCAGTGGTAAAGAATCTGCCTGCAATGCAGGGAACACAAGAGACACAGATTCAGTCTCTGGGTGGGGAAAATCCCATGGAGAAAGAAATGGCAACCATCTCCAGTATCTTGCCTGGGAAATCACATGGACAGAGTAGCCTGCTGGGCTACAGTCCATGGGGTCTTGAAAGGGGCGGACACACTTAGCGACTGAACAACATCTTAACCACATTCCTGTTGATGGCTTAAGTTGTTCCCAAGGTTTTGCTTTTGTACAGTTTCGTCCAACCTTTCCTTGACTCTCTTTTATTCAAGGCACCCCTTAGTTTGGGAGATATTCTGCTTTTTTCTTTCTCATCCCCGTGGGATAGTTAACAACTTATTTTGGGGAATGAGCACACCCTGTTGATTGAACAGAAACCCAGATAAGGGAAGTGACATATTCCAAAAATACCTGTTACCAGGTCTAGAATCAGTTCAGAGCTCCTAGAGGGACTTTCCTGGTGACTTACTCTACTTCCAGTGCAGGAGGCCTGGGTTCAATCCCTAGTCAGGGAACTGGGTTCTACTTGCCATAACTTTAGAGTTCCCATGCTGCAACTGAAGATCCTACATGCCTCAAGTAAGACCTGGTGCAGCCAAATAAATAAAATAAATATTAAAAAAGTTCTTAGAAAATGAATCAGTGAATGTTTAGAGACCAGGTGATTAGGAGCCACGAGCCATTTAATTCAAGGCAGCTGGTCAGTGTTAGGATTGTCGGCTTCTATAAGTTGTTGCCCAGGGAACAGATTTGAAACTCTGGTGTAGGAAGGATTTTAAATCTCAACACTTATGTAGTGTTGATACAGTAGGAAAGGACCGATCCTTGGGGGAGGTGGTAATAATGAGAAAAAGTGATCTTTGTAAAGTGACTTCATAAGGATTATAATCTTTGATTAGACATCCCTGCTGTGACAACATAGTCATTTCTATACTGTCATCTTAAGTCTCTTTTTTCCTTGTAAATTAACATAGAATGTGGTTTTCCTGTAAATAATTCCTCTTTGGACTGGGCCCTGACTTAAATGAAGCAAAACCTTTTTTTCCCAGCCTTTCACAGGTGTTTGATTTACCCATCAGAACCCCCATCTCCCTTCTTCCCACTACAGCTGCTTTGCTAATCCTGGAGCTCTCAAACGAGTCAGAAATCCATGTTGCAAGGATTCTTACAAGTTCAATTCCTCATACTTTGAGGGAGCTTAGGGTCTTTATCTTAACATAAAAGCTTTTTTCCTTTTTTTTTTAATTGCCATAGACTCCACCCTGATGGTAGCTCCTAAAGTACTTTTTTTTTTTTTAACACTTGCTATTCTTTCATCATCATAAAAGATGGGAGGAGACGGAAAAGACGACAGTATATGAAAATGAACAAGGTTTTTTCCCCTCTGTGTTAGCGTTTCTTCATAATTTGCTTTTAAGCATAGCAAATACTCTGTAAAAGTGGTTTGGAGGAAACAAACCATGATTTTATTTTATTTTATTTATTTTTTAACCTTTCATGAGATCTTTAACCATGATTTTAAATTTTCCTCCTTACAAGTCATGTGCATATGTATTTGTATTGGGGGAATAATGGATGAAAGATTTCTCCAGCAAGCAAGGCCAGCATTCTTGACTCTTTCTGCTTTGAGAATCTACATCTTACATTTTGGTAAACTATTAACACACTTTCTCAACTGTGTCCATTGATCCAACAAGAGGAAACAAAAGTGGAATTTCTTATAACTTTATTAATATTGAAAAGCTGTTGGAACCTAGGCCTCTCCTAGTTGATGGGCCAGATCCTTGAGATCAGGGAGGTTTTAACATCCTTTAAGATTTGTTTTTGTTGAGCCTGACTTTTCTCTTTGTGCCTAGGAGTCTGAAAAATCCTTTTGCAGAGTTCTAGGATGGAGACTGAAGGGTATCCAGAGATGCAAAGAGATGAAGTCCAGAATGATGAAATAAGGTCACCACCAAATGAGATGATGGCTGAGGAGCCAGAAGGCATCCTGATAGCGCCGCCCCAGGTCCAGGTTCCAGCAGAGAGCCCGGCTGAAGACTCTGAAGATGACCTGGAGGCCGTGCCCCTAAGGAGGCCTCTCAACCCTGCAGCCTCCAGGCAGAGGTTCCGGGAGTTCCGCTATGAAGATGCAGCTGGGCCCAGGGATGTCCTGAGACATCTCCAGGAGCTTGCTGGACAGTGGCTGCGACCTGATATTCACACAAAGGAGCAGATTGTGGAAATGCTGGTGCAGGAGCAATTCCAGGCCGTCCTCCCTGAGGAGCTCAGAGCTTGGGCACTGAGGTGTCAGCCTGGGGTCAGAATCACTGGCTAAAATCTCACTGCTGCTTTTTCAGCCTACATATGAGAAGTGACCAAAGGCTCTCTTTGTTGCAAATCCAACTACAGTCATGAGAAATCTGAACCTTGATTTTCTTTGAGCTTGCCTTTGCTAGCTGTAATAAGAATCAATGAAAACCTTTTTTTTTTTTTTTTTGCCTGAAGCAGCTTTCTTTCCTGGCAGTATGAACTCCAAAATGAGTTTCCCTGCCTTATTGTAAGGACAATCAGTCTGCTGCTTGCCTTTGCTCTGCTGAATCCTCCCCTTTTGCACTTTGTGACACGCTTTAATATATAGTTTTTATGTATCCAAAGAGATGATTGCTTCAACTTTAATAGTCTTGATTCTTGCTGTGGTGGCCTGAATGGAAGCTTGTGTAACCCCACCAGTAACTCATTTGGGGTGTCCTTGAAGTATTAAACTTTGATTCTTAACAAAAATGTCCTGTGGTGATTTACCAGTCTGGCTCTTAGTTGTCAGCATTTGAGAAAAGTGGGATAATTATCAGGAGTAGATATGAGCTGGAGATAAGAACTATGTGGCATTTGCTGAGCTGGCGAATAGAAACAGGCCTGGCTTTTGTTTTCAAAGTCAGCATCTAAACTGGGCAAAACCGAGAAGGGGGAAAGGGGTCAGAAGAGGTAAGTAACTCTCAGGCTGGGCTGTTTGATTTGCTCTTTGTCCATTTCCTCATCTTCCTGCAAGAGAGCTCGCCCGAAACCATCTGAAGTTCTGTTCTTCCTGGAACAGCAGTCATCCTGGCTGGCTGTAGAGTCCTGTACTTTGGTTTGCAGCTGAAACAGCAGTAGCTGCGGTTGTGACAGGCAGAGAGGAAACAGCAGCTCCTTCCCCAGCATGACCCAGTCTTGAACCTTTCTGCCTCTGCGGCCTGGCTTTTGGGGTAGGGGCTGCTTAGCTCCATGCTGGAACTCGAGTTCGATTCTGCTGATGTTTGCTGAGTACTTCCTGGGCCTTTGGGGCTCTTCTCGATGCCAGAATCCCAAGCGGCGCAGCAGTCAAGAAGCTGCCTGCCAGTGCAGGAGACACGGGTTCAGTCCCTGGGTAGGGGAGGTCCCCTGGAGAATCCCATGGACTGAGGGGCCTGGCGGGCTACAGTCCATAGGGTTGCAAAGAGTCAGAGATGACAGAGCACACACAAATATAAAACCCAATTTCAGGGACTTGGCTGGGCACAGTGAATAGGAATCTGCCTGCCAGTGCAGGAGACGGGTCGATCCCTCACATACCTGGGAGCGACTAAGCCCCTGTGCCCTGACCGCTCAGCCTGTGTGCCGCAACTCCTGGAACCTCTGTGCTCCAGAGCCTGTGCCCTGCAACACGAGAAGCCACTGCCAAGAAATGTGCGCAGCAACGAAGAGTAGCCCTCACAAAGCAGTGGAGACCCAGTGCAGCCATAGATAAAAAATTTAAATATAAAGCCCAACTTCAAGGAAATGTATTGCTTCTAAGGAGAGGAAGAAGCCATCAAAATGCATCGTTAGAAATGCGGGAGTAAAACTAGGCTTTTTTGGCATCTGATTTTGAGACAGCACTAAGAAAACACATTTTGTGGGTTTGGTTTGGTTTTGTTAAGTTAAAGAGGAAATAGCCGGGTCAGGGAAGTGGCATTTTTATTGAACTTTAGTAGGAGTCAGAGATCACTGAACAGAAGGCACGCCTTTTGTAAAGGCATGGGAATGGAGGGCATACAGTGTTTGGGGAGTAACTCTGACTGGGTTAAGCTCTCTAAGTAAAATTTCACATTGGCGATGGAGTAACAGTGATAGTGTCGTAGTATCTTCAGTACTTCCATTCCAGACATTCTGAAGGTATTTTGTTTAATCTGCAGGAATTAGGAATTCCTGCTGTTAATTTCCTGACCTGCTCGTTTCTCAGATGCTTTGATGGCCTAGAATTTGGGATGCAAGTAAAGGGCCAGAGTTACCAAATGGACCTAAATGTTTTCACCTGTGGTATTTTAAAACAGCTGAGGTTTCCTGAATCCCTTAGCACAAATTTTTCAGCCTTGGTAATTTGGGGCCAGGTAATTCCTTTTTGTGGGGGCTTGTCCTGTGGATTCTAGGGTATTTAAAGGCATCTTTATCTTCTGCTCACTAGATTCGAGTAACACCCGCTAGGTGTGACAACCCAAAATGTCTCCTTTGCCCCTAGTTGAAAACCACTGACTTTCTGTAGGAGACTGCATCCAGACGTGTCCCAGGTTAGACTTTGGTCCACAGTCTCTTAAGTTTAACGTTGGATTGAGAAGCTGTTGGAAGACTTGTGTAAACTCGGCTTTATGGTTCCTTTTTTTTCCTTCAAATTTTCTATTGGAGGATAATTGTAAAGCAGTCTCCTGTGTGTGAGGTATATCTTTGGCTTTTTTCATCTTTATCTTGAAAGTGAAAGTGGCTCAGTTGTGTCCCACTTTTTGCCACCCCATGGACTATACAGTTCATGGGATTTCCCTGGCCACAGTACTGGAGTGGGTAGCCTTTCCCTTCTCCAGGGGATCTTCCCAACCCAGGGTTTGATCCCAGGTCTCCTGCATTGCAGGCTGATTCTTTACCAGCTGAGCCACACAGGATGCCCATTCTAAAATAACATGCCTTAGATTCATTTGACACAAAAAGTATGAAAAAAACAAGCATGGTCCATAATCTCACTTCCTAAGTAACTCTTGTTGACGTTTTTAATGTTATACAGTTGCGCCCTGCGCTGCCTGCCAGTCTCCTTTCCTCTGTCTTCCCAGCAGATTGTAAGCTCTGTGATAGCAGTGTTAACATCTTGCCTTGTCCTCTACCCCAGGGGTTCCCAGCCTGACAATCTGAGGTGGAGTTGATGTAACAATAATAGAAAGTATACAGTTAATGTAAAAAATATACATAATTTATATTAATATATATATATGTTTTTCTTGCCTAGTAAGCCTTAGCAGTCTTTTGCTATCAATCTACAAAGATTTATTTAAAAAAATTTTTTTAGCAGTTGCATAGTATTCGTATGGCTAATACCTAGCCTTGCACTTTTCAGTAAAAAAATGCAAGGTAGGGGGTTTAGGTGCGGAGGTGAACCTCCAAAGCGCAAGCGAGGCTTGCAGAGGTAAGTTAGAGAGCCAGAGCTCAAACCAGAACTGGTAAAGTGCCCAGCACTCTCTCCCAGCAACCTGTTAGTGCCAACACTTTCTCATGGACATGAACTTGTAGATGCAAATCCTTACCCCAAACAAACCCAGGAAGAGGAGAGGCTCGAGTTCATCTCCATTCCATCTGGCCCTCGTCCCATGCCCTTGCCACGAGGTCACGCTGCCTGGGTACTAAAGAGTAAACCAATTTCAAGTGTTTCAAGGGCCCTGTGCAGATGTGCGGAGACAGTCCCTCCCTAACTCTAGTGCCGCTCCTCCAGAGGTGGTTCTGGTGCTTTCTCCTCCCCTAGAGTAGTTCGCACCGCTGCCAGTCACTGTCATTTCTGAAGTCAATCTAGATACCAATTCTAAAGAGCGCTGTTTCTTTCTAATACTTATTTTTTGGCTGCACTGGGTCTTCACTGCTGCCAGTGACCTTTCTCTGGTTGCAGCAAGCGGGGGTTACTCTTGGTCGCGGTGCATGCGCTTCTCATCGTGGTGGCCTCCCTTTGCAGAGCACAGGCTCTAGGCGCACAGGCTCAGTAGTTGTGGCACACAGGCTTAGTTGCTCCGAGAGAATGTAGACTCTTCCCGGATCAGGGATCAGACCAGTGTCCCCTGCATTGGTAGGCGGATTCTTAACCACTGGACCACCAGGGAAGTCCAAGAACACTTTCAATTCTGTGAGTGATGGAGCAAGAGGAGGACGATGTAGAGGAGCTGGAGGGGAGAATTTCTAAAAGTCTCCTGTGTCTGACTTGCCCTCTGTGATTATTTTGACTCCAGTTCCACCGTTTCACCTGGTCACTGAAAAGTGCTCCTGCCAGATGGCTGCTGGTGAAAACCAGTGTACAGACCACAAGGTAATATGAGATTCCTAGCAACTGGCTGGAGCTATGGAAAAATGTGTCATCTGTTGGGCAACTACACCCTGAGCAATGAGTGGGTGCCAGGCCCTGGTTGCTGGAAAGGGGGCCAACTCCAGAGGCTGGGTGGGGGGCAGAGTCCCCCCCTCGTGGTGGTGGTGACTGGAGGATTCGAGTGTAACTGGCCTTCCTAAGAGCACCCACATGTGGTCAGTTTCCAAAGGCAGCTCACTACAACGCTCTTGTCAATGAGTTGACTATTTTGCTAAGCATTTTCCACCCACCACCATGCATTTATTGGCCATTTCCCTTGGCCTGAAATGTCCCACCCCTCTGCCTCCCCCATCTTTGCCAGCCTACTCCTATGCATTGTTTATGACGCAGATAGCCATGGTCACCTTCACGAAGCCGCCTTTGATTTCTGCCTTGAGTCGGCATTTGAATCCCTCTTGTGAGCGCCTATAACACCTTCCCTCTAGTTCTAAATGCCCGCTCATCCAGCCAATATGCATTGTGTACCCAGCATGCCAAGGCCCGTGCTAAGGATCACATGCAGTGTCTAGTTTGTATCCCCAGCAGATTGTGAGCCCCACGTAGAGGGAATCTATTCTTGGCCTCTAACACAAGACTTGCACATGACATCCTCTAGAAATAGTTTATTTTGTAGAAGACTCATGGTTGCTGCCTAATTTAAAGTACTTCCTTCTTAGTGAACACAAATGACTGGAATTCATGGGAAACGAGTGAGATTATTAATTCCTGTTTAATTGGAGATTAAATTGTTTAATTGGAGATTTTTATTATCCCTGTTTAAAATGGAGATGATGGTGAAAATAAACCCCCGAAGAAAAGAGGAAGGTTTCACTCAGTCTTCACTGGGGTGGCTGGCTTCCCTCTCCGTTTTGCACCTGGTGTTGCAGTGAGGTGAGGTTAAAACAGCCCTTGGCTGGCTCTGTTTGAAAGCTCCAGGGCCCCCTGGGTGCCTAGCAACAAGCTGACTGCCCAGAATAGTGATTTTGAAGCTGGGTGTGTCTTCTGGGCAGGAAGCCACCACCACCACCAAAACAGCCAAGGCCTCCCCTTCACTTCCTCTGGGCCAAAGCTCCGCCTTCACTTGGGGCCAGAACTAAGTGTTTTGGAGCCCTGTCTTTGCACAAATGGGATGTTCCTAGTAAAGGTAACTCCCGCACTTTCAAGGTGTGTGATCTCAGACAAGTCTTGTCACCTCTCTGAGCTCCAGTTCCCACACCTGTCTTTTTCATATTCCCACCTAGGGTCACCCTAGCACAGCACAGAGACATTCTGTATATGCTATGCTGTATGCTAAATAGTCTATATCGTAGCTGAATCTGCTTGGTAAAGGGAAGGTTCATCGAGTGATCCTTCTCAGCTGTCTCTCTGATCTTTTCCTTCCTCCTGAGCCCGTCTGTCAAACAGCTCCATCTCCTCATTCCTCATTTCTCTACG